AAAGGCTGCAGCCATCCATGTTGTTATCTTTCACATTTTTCCTTCCACTAAACTTTCTATTGCCTGTTGGATGATGTCTTCCTCATGAAAAATATCTTCACCTTTTCTGAAATCTAAAATATTTCTTATTAGTTTTGTGTAATAGAAGTGTCACGGTTAATTTGACTTACTGAAGCCAATAAAAAGCCCAAGCCTGGTGTAGAAAAATCCCTATTTAAAAAAACTAATAACCCATAACCTGGTGGGGGGCAAACAAAGCCTGGTGGCCCACCAGGCTGATGTATTTTGCATGACTACAACTTTTTAAATATTTTAGACTTATCGAAAGTCATTTTATGTTCTGGTAGGTGAAAATTACTTTCTACTTTTTGTACTTAAGTGGATTTTAAAAAGTAAGTAGATTTTTACTTTTACTCGAGTAGAACAGTCCAACCTGTACTTTTGCTAGTTGATAAATCACTTAACGGCTTTGTGCCACAATACATTAAATGCTGTTGTTGACCTATCAGGGCTTCTGGTTCTGGCCTGGTCTGAATCCAGAACCAGAACCAGACATGGAGAAGCAGAATTCAGCTTCAATGCACTGCAAATATGAAAGAAACTTCCAGAATACTGCAAAACCGCTGAAACACTGCGTGCCTTTGAATCGAAACTAAAAACTCTTCAATGAAACATTAATCAACAATTTGATGTGTAACAATGGCACTTGACAAAATGTAATATTCCAATTGTTCTATGACTTTGTATTTTTCTGTCTTTATGATGTAAAGCATTTTGTAATACCTTATTTCTGTGTTATACAAATAAAATTTTATTGATCAATACTTTTACTAGAATATTTTTTCATGCAAGTATCTGTACTTCTACTTAAGCAGAGAATGTGAGTACTTTTTTGACACCTGCGTCTGTTAAGGTGTACTAAACGAAGCTTTTACTTTCTCTTCATTTGAGTCTCTTCGGGCAAAATATCAGTGTCACGTAAATAAACCTCCACAGGCAGTTCTGGTTGGGGGTTTAAACCTGTCAGTCACCGAGGAAGAAATGAGATTTGTTCTCCGCTGCCTGTTGGAGATGGAATCCCGTCTCTCCGCGGTGTTGATAGGCTGTTTTTCCGTTGATGCTCCGTCAATGTGAAAGCCAGGAGGGGAGGAGGAGAGGAGAGGTCAGCGCGACTAGCAGTGCAGATTGCTCACCAAACAGAAGCAGGGAGTCAGTAAAGTTGATCATAACCACCAGTTTCACTTTGATGCTGGTGCAGCAACCGTGAAATAACGAGATGAGCTCAACTTCTTCACCGGTAAGCTTCCAACAGCCTGTTTACCTTTGACCTGTCAGCTGTCAGCTGTGTAGAAGCGTTAGCATGTTAGCTGCGTTAGCTTATTTATTAGCTACGATGCTAACGCTGTTTGTTTACACCCTCCATTGTTCCAAATAACAGCAGCAGTCTTAGCTGCAGCTGCTCTCTTGCCTCTTATCCGGTGTTATATATAAACTGTTAACCTTTTATTATGAGTTTCCTTAGTTATACTGACTAAACTAGCGTAGAGTCTCAACTTTATGAACTATTGTTTACTGTGGGGTTTAAAGGTAAATCTGCAGTTAGAAAGCACATATGGTACGGTTTATGTACTGCTATTTATTTATTTTTTCTATTTATTGCATGCTGTAATGAATCCGTGTTTCCAGTTTGTAATAATCCAGTTTTAACAAAAAATATATATATAATGGATTAAGAGGGCCATTTTCAAACAGACAAATCTCTGAAAACATACAGCTGATGATTATTATTATGAAAAGTAAAAACTGAAGATGACGATGAAGGAAATAAAAAATTGGAAAACCTTTATGTATGTTTTTAAATCTCCAAGGGAGAGAGAATTAAAGTTTATTTTTTATGTTAGTTTTGAATTTGTCACATTGTTCATTGAAGTAAATAAAGTAAAACTTCTGGGTTTCTGATTCTGCACCGCAGACGATCGGGGAGTTCTTCCTCATCCTCAGTGAAATGGGTTTCACAGAACAACAGATCCAGGCAGCGATGCAGGCGGGACATCTTTCTGTGACAGAAGCCGCTGAATGGTAAATAAACTAAAATAAATTTCAAGCTTTTGATATGTATTTTAAGCGTCTTACGCATTACCTCTCATTTACAGGCTCTTACAGGGTCAGTATCCACGCCATACGTTGGTTAAGCAGACATCCAAGTCTTCTGAGACCGCACTCTCTGCTTTTAACCCACCCAAAGACGCAGCGAGCAGCTCCACGCTACCTGCTTCTTCTAGTGACAGCAGGGGTAAAAAAAAAACCCAAAAGCTCCTCATCAGATAAAAGTTAATTAGTCTGATTTTATTTGATTTATTGTTTTCTGTTTTCTTTAACAGCAGGTTCCTCTCTAGTCCTTAAGCTGTCCGAGTCGACCTCCCAGTCTCCTGATCCTCCTCCAGTTGAGTCGCGGCTCAAACAAGACAAGAGTGACTTCGAGGAGAAAGAAAGACAACGTGTGGCTCAGAAAGTCCTGGCCGAGAAGAAGCAAAAGAAGCAGGTCCGACCGAAGACAACAGACGTGAACATGTGCCGGTTTGTTGGCAACTTTTGAAGAAAATTTAGTTTTTTGTTTGTTTTGTTTTGCCAGGAGCGCGAGATGGTGTTAAAGCGGATAGCTGAGGATCGGAAAACCTTCCAGGAGAAAAGCCACGGCGGCTCTGGTGCAGACACAGCTCCTCCCAGCAGCGAAGGCCAGAAACTGGGAGGAAAGGTCCAGACTAATGTTGACAACAACTGTATCCTCATGGTTAGTGTTCACTTATAAAGCAGTAGAAGGTGATCAACCTAACATTTGAGTAAGCTATCAATTAAAACTGATAACTTACTCAGACGTACTTATGACACGTGGCCTGGGTAATCATGTTTTTACATACGTTTTTAATTATTTTATTTAAAAAATTCATTTTGGTGAGCAGAATAGACATGTTTCTGTCTTATAATATATATGTGCAAACATATCCATCAGCCATCTAGTTGAGGCAATTTAATCTAGTTAATGTAACTTGAATAATTTTTATTTAAAAGGTAATGCAACTTAAATCTATCTAGTTGAGGCAACTTGCATCTACTCAATGCAGCTAATCTATGCAATCTTATCTGTCTAACTTAACTTTTAATTAAAAATTTTTTCTCACATATTTATTTTGTGCATTGCTGCAGATCCGGCTTCCCTCCGGTGAATCCATGCGTGAGCGTTTCTCCGCCGACGCGCCTCTGCGCAGCGTCGTGGAGCACATCAGCGGTCGCCACCCTTCCCTGTCCCCCTTTTCCCTCCTCCAGGGTTTCCCCAGAAAACGCTTCGGCGAGGCAGAGCTGGCGTGTTCGCTGCGCTCTCTGGGCCTCACTCCGAATGCCGCTCTCTGCATTCAGACCACGCCGCCAGAAACGCCTCAGGATCCGCCGAGCCCGGCAGACCCGCTGCCAGTGCCTCTCAATGAGCCGCTTCCGTGTATTTTCCCACCGCCACTGCCGCATGTTCCCGTTCCAGAGGAGGCAGAGAGGCTGAATCCAGCGGCGGGTCACCGGCTCCCGGACGATCTGTGGGAGGAGGCTGTGAATTATGCAGGGATACCGAGAGCCATTCCTCCGGTCTCTGGACCTTCACATTTCTGGGGTCAGTACCATACATAAAACAACCAGGATGTGAATTTTATGGAAAATGTCTCTAATCCACACTGGGTTAAAATTATAAATATAGGTTCTATTATTTGTACTTCTAGAGGTGCAGAAAAAGAATCGCAATTCTTAGTACCGTTATTGTGAATCGATTAAAAATTCTCAAAAATAAAATTTGAAATATGTTTAATTTGTTCATTTTTCTCGCTCCTATCTGCGTATCACATTACGGTCCACTCGCCCACTGTATGTATTGTGAATTCTTTGATATTTATTTTCTGAAGAGAAAGCCAGGCAGCTAAGCTAACCTGCAGCCTGAAGTGACCCAATTCCGATTTTATTTTAGCCGTCATGCGACCTGTATCTGATCTTTTCATTAGTCTGAACAACTCAGAGCCACCTGGATATGAGTTTCTAAATCCGATATGCATCCGATCTTTTCAAATGTGACCTGAATCTGAACGGCCAGGTCGCATTCTTTCGATTTGAACGTCATTGATCCTCGACAAACGTCACTATTCTGCGCCCTGATACGCGTAAGCGGGAAGAAAAACAATTATGGCGACGATAATGAAGATTGAGCTAACAACTTTAAAATTGTAAAATATACTCCACCATTAGCATCCACGTTTATATCCACAGTGTGCACTACTTCTTCTTTTTATAGCGGTTGGCAAAAACACTGCGCACGCTCTGACGCTATTGCGCCCTCTACTGCGCATGTGGGAATCTTTCAGGTCATTTGTCATTCACACAGGAGATCACATACAAGTCGCATATATTTGGAAATATGAACGACGACACCAATAAATAAGATTTCACAAAAAAAAAAAAAAAAAATGAAATTGTGTTGTCAATTACAGTGTTGTCAAATGTAATACTGATGTTGGACATTTAATTCAGAAATAAACTGCTCACCCTGATCAATTTTAGTTTTCAGGATCTTTGGCATGATTTTTTTTTTTTTTTTTACATGAGAGTCACTGGAGTGTGGATTATGTTCCTGCTCTTTGACAGGCCGAGGTCAGCGACTGGTTCCTGGTGACCCAGAGGATCCTGGACTGGAAGCAGATGAGGGACCGGAAGCAGAGGAAGAACCACCACAAATTCCCAACGGTACCGATCCTTCAGATGATTCATTCCTCCCTTTGACCTACGTTCCTCTTACTCCCTTTTCCCGCTTACTTCCTGTTTCCACTATTTATCCAGTGGAAACTTTTTCCTTCTCAGGACCTTGCAGCTGCAGGAACAGAACCACTCCAATTTATTCTCCACATTGCAAAGATTCACTGCTTTACAGAAGATTTGACTGAAAATTTGGGAACGTGGGTCACATTTGGGAGAGATTAGGATTAGGAAATGTGTTTGTCAGGATTTATTCGCTACTGCAGAGCAGACAGGGAAAAGAAATCCCAGTTCAGATATTTTAGTTTATTTTTAGAAACGACTAATTTAAAATACTGGTTTTGTTCTGTATTTTTTAAACTGCAGATCCATTTAAAGTGCTTGAAGTGATTTATAAAGAAAAGCCTGTTAATACTGAGGATAATTTGTAGATTACAGCCAGAGTTGGGTAGTAAATAGTTACTAAAGTAACTTTTTTTGAAAAATGATTGATAATTTGATCAGTTACTCAGTACTTAAGCAGATATTTTACCAAATACCTTTTCACTCAAGTAATTTCTTGGATGGGTCCTTTTTACTTTTGAGTAAAAACAATGTACTAGTTTTTGTGTTCTGTGCTCAGGAATGCCGAGGCTGCCTTTCTTCCCGGAGAACAGGGTGCGTGCAGGATTTGAACCCCGACACTTCTGGCCGGACCAGGGCAATCGCCTCAGGTGGGTCGCCTGACAGGAAGCCACTAAACCGAAGTTTAAATTATAAAATGTAATCATTAAAGACTGCCGCAACCTGATTGAAAGGTTTTAGTATGAGTTTATCTTTACTAAACTGACACTGTCCTCTTTTTCTCTGCTGTTAGCGCTTTGACTGCATATTTAGCGACATTTCAGACAAAAATAATGCCATTGATCAAAATCGGCTTTTTAAAGATTGTAATTGTGATCGGCCAGAAAACCGCAATCGGTGCAGGCCTAAACACGTAGCGATATGTTTTCTGTGCTTCCTCGTGTGTTTCCAGAGACGCTCCAGAGGAGGACCCAGCTGACCCCGAGGATGCAGAGGGTCCAGTTGCGCATGTAGCTGCAGGTCAGGCTGCGGTGGAGCGGCTTCAGAGGGCTGCTCTGCAGGAGGACCACAGCGCCTCTCAGGGACAGCCAACTCCACCTAAAAGACCCTTCAGGACACCAAACGTGCCATCCTTATGTGCCTTGGCCATCCGTGCAACTGTCCACCTCATGACGGGTAGGACGCTGTGAAAGTAAAACACTCCTGAAGTCTGGTTCTCTCTAAGAACGAAGCGTGTCGCCCCTGCAGCTCCCAGCATGCAGTACAGCAGCAGCCTGGCGGGCCTGACCCCGGAGCTGGCGGAGCTGCTGCTCAGCCACATGTCCAGAGAGAGGCTGCTCCGCCCGCGCACCCTGGAGCTCTTCTTCGGCTGCCAGTTGCAGAAATTAGTCCTGAACTGCTACCCTTACTCCACCAACGAGCTCCTGCGGCAGCTGCGAGCCTTCACGACGCTGAAGCACCTCAGTCTGGTCAACTCGCCTCTCATCACAGGTAGGAGCTGCAGAAATCTGCCTCAGCTTTACGTTTCTTCCTGATCTCATGAGCCGGTTCTGTCCAGATTCTGGTCTGTCGGTCCTCCCCAGTCTGGTCAAGCTCCAGTCACTCAACCTGGCGTCCTGCAGCAAACTGACCGACTCCTGTCTCCAGTACATCACAGGTTAGGATTCTTCCCATAATGCAACTGAGAGCCAGACTTTAAATAAGTATCTTTGTCCCCTTTTTTCATATTTTGTCTTGTTAGAACCACAAACTTTGATGTTTTATTTGGTTTTTATGGTGAAAACATGGCGCTCTGCTTGACGTCTCAAACACCGTTGGCGCCCATTTTTTTTCTCAGAAAGGCACCGAGGTCTGTTGTGAACTTTGTCGTTAAAGCACCTTATTCAGTTTTATTTCAAGTAGGTGTTTTCAAGGTTTGGAAAGTGTTTGACTTCTGTATGAAATCCTTGATAGTCAGACTGCAGGTTTGGTAATAAATTGCAGTCCAATGTCTCTTCATTTGAAAAGCACCATTTACAGTTGAAACAAAAGGATAACAAAAAAGACTAAGATGCATTTTTATTCTCACTGTCTGAAGTTAAATCAGGTAAAATTGATCTTGTCTTAGGTCAGTTAGAATGATTAAAATTCTATTTTCTAAATGCCAGAAAACTCAGGGAAAACATTTTTTTTACTTTGTCCAACCAGTCAGGTGTGTAAGGTGTAAGAGACATTTCAAAACAGAAAATGTTATTTCAGTCTAGCTTCCCCTGCTGTAAAATACTATTGCAATATATTATTAATGACAGTAATAAATAATATCATATAATAGTGAATTTAAACTATCTTTTTTAGTTTATTTTTATTGTTTTTAACTCCAAAGTGGTGCTGAAAAAGTTTGAAAACTTACCTTGAACGTGTTTGAATTTTACTGTGGGTAAAGTTGATTAATTACTTATTAGATAACAGAAAGTTGTGAAAAAGAAAAAGTTTAGAGAATCTTACAGTAATTTCACCCATAAAGGTTCTCATGAATTTTAAATTCATCCTGAATTTTAAATGTCCATATCTCAGGCTCCACAGTTAGTGAAGGACTTTACAACAAACACTCAGAAAAACACTGAAGTTTGTGGTTGTAACATGACAGAATGATAACAGGTTGACTAAATATGAACACTTTGGCAGATGTTAAACCTTGGTCCACCAATTATTTCTAATGAAATGTTTATTCTGGTTTGAAGGCTTGAAGAGCCTGTGTGTCCTGTCCCTGGATCAGACCAAAGTGACAGATGCTGGGATGGTTCAGTACCTCCAGTCGGCTCCTTCCTGTCTCTCTCAGCTCAGCCTGAACCAGACAGAAGTGACCGAAGCCACCCTGGCTGTGCTCCCCACCTGCGTACCACAGCTGCGACTCCTCAGCATCAAGCATACGAAGGCATTTCAGCTTATTTTAACCAAACACTGTTTGTCTTAAGAGTCTGGTCTGCCATGTTTCTTCATCTTGTTGTGTGTTGGTGTTTCAGGTTAAAGATATTTCAGCTCTAGCAGGGATGTCCAGTTTGCAGACTTTGAATCTGAACGGGACGGGCGTGACTGAGGAATCTCTGGAGAGCATCTCCACCCACCCAACTCTGTCTTCTCTGAGTTTAGGAGGAATCTCTGTGAAAGATGGGAATCATGCCCTCAAGATTATCTCAGGTTTGTAAATTGAAATGTGTGTAAATAAACCAGGGTGTCCTTGTGTCCTTAAAATGTCTTAAATTCATTAGAAAAAATAAGTGGGCCTTAAATATGATAATCACCAGTCTTAAATTTTGTCAAGCGAACGCTTGAGTCGCTTCTTCGTCGTGTTCCTTGACTTAAGGCGGTTGAGGCTACTACCTCCTAATATACCTTTTCTAGTTAGCAAAGGTATATTAGCAGCTATACGTGTAATGTAAACAGAGGGAGGAGAAAAAACTGGCTATCCAATTAGCTAAAAAAAAGTGAACTAGCAAGGTAGCAACCTCATTCTTTGCATCTAATTTGGTTTCAGTGCAAATTTATTACCAGTTGACTGGATCGCTTGTGTTGCTAGCTGCTAACATATCCTTGCTAGCTTGCAAAGGTACATTAAAAGGGATGGAAATGAAGGAAAGAGAAAAACTAGCTGGCTAAATAAAATAGCTAGCTAAAAAATAGGGAGTTAGCAAGTTCACTTTTTTGTGTCCATCATGGTTTAAATGCAAATTTATCTCCAGATGGCTGGATGATGTTCGTCCTCACCTTTGGATCACTTCTGTTTCCAACCCATAAGATGGTGGCTGCTAATATATTCTTGCTACCTAGCAAAAGTATATTAGCAAGAATAATAATACGAAAATAACATTATGACTTCATCGTTGTAACATTACGACTATTTTCTCATTATTTTGACTTTTTCGCAATTTTTTTAAAGCATGGCCCTAATATAATAATCTTCCTGAAGTCTTAGATTTCATTCAAATGGTCTTAAAAAGTCTAAATTTGATTGAAACCTCAAAACGTGTAAACGGATGATGCGAAGGAAACAAACCAAGCTAAATCTCGATGATTCTCACTTCCCCCCAGGTCTGAAGTTGACTCACCTCACGCTTCCTGGACGCCACACTGTGACCGATGGGGGGCTGGCGTTCCTCTGCCGGCTGACTCTGCTGTCAGAGCTGGACCTGAAGGATTACACACAGGTCACAGACCAAGGAGTCAGCCAGTTAGCCGCCATGACCAGGTCAGTCCAACACCTCAGTCATGTCAGGAAACGCTTGTGGGCGGAACGTCCACACTGATGAGAGTGTCGTGTGCGTTTGTGAGCAGGTTGAAGAAGCTGTCTCTGAGCAACACGCAGGTGACGGACGCAGGGCTTCTTTCTCTGCGTGGCCTGCTGGAGCTGCAGGAACTTTGTTTGGACCGAACGGCGGTGACGAGCCGAGGAGTGGCCGAACTCATCACCTGTCTGCCTCAGCTTCAGGTAATTTACCTGATAATATTAGTGGAGCTGCAGGGGTTGACATGAGTTCTGCTGGTGTTGGGTATTATTGTATTGTTACTTAAAAAGATATATCGATTTAAAAATAACTATAATTAAATTTGGATTAAATGCAGAAGTAAGATTAGCATGAAGAGGTAAGATCAAATGTAGAAAACCACATTTGATCTTATTACAACTTTGAACTTCACATTTATGGAAAGTGAAGAGTTCCAAATTACAACAAATAACTTCTGAAAAAATTATTTAAATGTCAATTTTTTAAAATGAGAAATAAACAGAAATAATTTATTAACTGCAGAATTTATTTATTTGTTTTTCCTTAACATCCCAGTTGTGTTTCTACTGTGTTTTTAATATTCATTTAGATATACTTATTTTAGATATAATTATTTGACTTGCTTTGAGAGTTTTAAAATTTCGTTGAATGTGTGTGCCTCAATTAAATGTTTAGATTTTAATTTAAAAACTAGACATAATAATTGTATGATTTATTAAATTATTTTTGTGTTCCTGTGCTGAAGCATAATTAAATTTTTTTCAACTTCATCCATCAAACTTACTAGAGATCCTTCTTCAGAGACCCTGACGTTTGATTGGCTGCTTTCACAAACATCCTGATGTCTGATTGGCTGCTTCAAGAAAGTCAAGAAAACTTTAAAAGTTTGCTATGGTCAATATCTCCATTGGAAAGACCAGAAATAACTTAACATAATTCAATTGATTTTAAAAATTGCCATAAACTTCAAGCCTCTATAACTCTAGTTATACAACTCGAGTTTTGGTCTGGAATATTAAAAAAAAAATTCTGTCGTAGCTTAACATAGGTATTCTTGACTTATTTTAATTTGAAAATGAACTTCTGGTACACAGGTATCTCCTTTAGAAAAGTCCCCGTGACTAACATGACATTTATTTTGAATGTTTGTGTTTATCATGCGAGTCCAGAGCTTTGTTTTGGTTATAATTTCCTGTTTTTTAGGTTTTGGGGTTAGCCAGCACGCATGTGGGGGACTCGGTAGTGAGGAGGGGCCTGATCCACTGTCATCAGCTGGTTAAGATCAACCTCAGCCACACACGGATCACGGACCAAGGTACAGCTAGCTCGTCGTCTTTAAGCTCATCTCTGCTTGGTTGAGTGATAAACTGCTGTATTTTTTACCCTTGCAGTAAAAACAAACAAAATACAATCAACAATTAATTGACGCAAAACAATTAATGGTTTATTAGATTAAATTAGTTCAAATCGCTTAACTTAGCCCTTTTTTTTTAGTGTTGTAGTTTGGCTGCTATCCAGCAGAGGCCGCCGCTCGTCATCCTTCAGCCCAGCCGTTGATATACAAAAACAAAGATGGCGGAGATATTATCTTTACGGGAAAGAGAATCGGTCCAAGCTGAGTTTACGGATTTTTTTAATTTTTATGTAACAACAGAGAAAAAAATGGTAACATAAGCACTACTTTGAGGGCTGTCTGAATGATATCACTTCGTGGAGTCAGTTTTTAACTTTAAAAGCAAGTAGAGGTGGTACTGCGGCACTTTATCTTTCTTACCTCCATGTCCAGTTGGAAAAAGCTTAAGGTCGTTATTAGCAGGTTTAGCCCACAGATTCTTTTGTTCCCAGTCCTTTGTTGCAGTTACAGAGTTTCCTATAATTGTCTCCATAGCGTCTAAAATATTTTTTATTGTATTAGCTGTGACTTCTGACCGGAAGAATCGTTTGCAAACGGAAGCACAGCTGCGACTTTTTTTCCCTTCTTTTTAAACATCTATGTAAGTAATGAGAACAGTGCCATCTAGTGTTTGTTAATAGAAATTGCACTTAAATTTGTCTTAAAATACGGGATAGTTCTCGCATTTTATTCTTTTCAACTTTTCTTTGTCTATTCAGCCAGCTAAGATGTTCCTGTTTTGCTATATTTTTATTTTTTTTAGAAATTCCTTAAGTTTATTCATGTGAAACCCCCCCACAATTTCTGTTTGTTCGGTCAGTATTTAATACAGATGACAAAAAAATTGTTAAAATGTATTATTTTTAATTTTTTTTAATTAAAAAATAATTTAGTTTAGCATATTATGAAAACATTTTGTCATCTAGACAGAATAGGAAACTCAAGTTTTCTATTTATTTATGAACTCATTAATCAATAACGTGCATCCCTGCCCTGCAGGTCTGAAGCACCTGAAAGACATGCGTCTGGCTCAGGTCAACCTGGACGGCACCGGGGTCAGTCTGATGGGCATCGCCAACCTCCTCTCGCTGACCAACATCGGCAGCGTCCGGGCCACCAACACTCGCACTATTCCACTGGACGCCGTCTCAGACGAGGACTGAGGATGCCTCTGCTTGGACGAAACGAACGCTGACGAACCTGAGCACGGCTGCCTGCTGCTGGCCTCGGCACCATGCTGCCACCCGGACCAACTGGAAACGGCATTGAGTAAAAACACTCCTCCAAATTGCACTGTCTCAACTCCAGCTAGTGCCGGTAATCTGACAATCGCTGAAACCTTAAAGGAACAGTTCAGGGTTTTACAGAGAAGTTCTGGTTCTGAGCAGCAAATAATGGTCCTGGTGTCTTTATTTGGTCCAAATCCAGACTAGTTTATCCTGGAAGCTGAAGGTAACTGCTCTTCTACAGCTCTGAAACCTTAAAGTTTTTTTATGCTTTTGGATATAAAGACAAGAATAAAAATTAATTTGAGCAGTTCTTCTTTTTATTTCATAGAAGTTTATGCAGTTGCTCTTTTATGAGCTTCAGATTTTCACTGGATGGGATCATGGGAAATTAAGGTTGGAGGCGGTGCACCACTAATAATCTTCCTGTGTGAAACGCGTACCAGGGTTTCTACCCAGTTTGGAGAATTATGATAGCATTTTCCAGAAAATAAAGGGCATTAAAAGTATTATTTCCAGACTTCATCTCATCACATTGTTTTTATGCCTTTCCTTTTATATATATATTATTTTTTTTATTTTTTGCCCTATTTCCTGTTTTCTTCCATCTCTACTTTTTGACCCTCTTTGTTATGTCCTTCCTTCCTGATTATTTTTTAAAATTCTATATTTAATTCTAGAAATTTCAGCCTAAACTTAATTTTATTTTATACTTTAAAAATAACATAAAAAACTCTGAACTCAGAAAGGTGTGTAGATGTTTCATACAGGAAGCTAATCGGAGAAGTACCGCCTCCTACCTTTTGCCTAAATAAGCAATCAAATAAAAAGGTTCCAACTGATCTGGATTTTAACTAAATCAAGACAAGTTATTTTTTTTCTTTTAAGATATTGCATATATATGTAAGCTTTAAAGAAAAAAAAAAGCAGAACCTCAGTCCAAAACTCTGAACTTTTTCTTCTGCTTAATTAATCGGTTTAGGAAGTTTACACTCAGCATATAGTTACTGATTTACACTCTGCAGCATAAAGTCGTAAGACTTGATAAACAGTACAGCTTTAACTATGTGAAGGAATGCAGGTCAAGCAGCATGAAAAACAGACTAAGGCAGACTTATTTTAATTTCTATTCCTGTTTTTTTTCTATTAGAATCTTGACGTCAAATGTGGAAATGCAGTGCCTTGCAAAAGTAGAAATCAGATCTTAAACTTGTGTATTTTATTGGGATTCAAAGTCATAAACACACACTAAATAGTGCATTTGTGAAGTTTTAAATCTGGATCTTAATGGAAGAATGTGCTTGGGTCAGATAAGATTAAAATGAAGTGATGGCAGCATCAGCCTGTGGCAACAGGAAACTTGGAGGGAGATAACAGAAAAAGACTACGAGAGCTACAATGGAATGTCCTAGTCAAAGTCTAGACTTGAATCTAAGAGCTGAAAATCACTCAGATGTGCTCCACTAACAGCTGTGCTGAAGAAGACATAAATCTTAATACAAATAAAAAGGAGGTTGTTACCTCTTCAGTTTACAGACAGTAAGTGTAAATTACTGATATACATTTTGATTAATTCATTGGGTTTCAATACTTTTGCAAGGCATTGTTCAAGAACATTAGTTAATTTTCATTCAATAATATATTAATCATCCTGGCATAGCATGACCTCCAGTTTCCTCCTAATGTAATTTATGCCAAGAAGTACCACAGTCGAGTGTAAATCTTTGGGAATTCAGCCATTTTGATTTTCATAACCAAAACAGACTCGCTTTAAATCTTTTCCTTGTTGCAATAGTTTATTTTCCCTAAAAGGTAATGACTTTGATACAGTCCCTGTAAATGCGTAAAGAATAATAAAGACTTCTCCAATTAGCTTTGCTGTTTTTATTGTTCCGTTTATTGAGACAAACCTTTATTGCATTACTGTCAAATAAGGCAGAACTGCTCTTTTACACTGGAGGGGGAAAGAAAAGAAAAAAGAAAGAAGTCACCTTTTAAATATGATAAAATGACCTAAAAGCTGCTGCTTACTTCTTGTTGGGGTAAAACAGAACTTTTAAGAAGGAACAAAAAGACTTCTTTGAAGACAAATACAATGGAATGCTTTCCAGGTGAATCAGCCAATCAGAGCGCAGCCTGAGGTGGAGGAGGGGCAGGGCTTGGACTGCAGTCAAACCGTGAGGAAACAGTACTAGGTGTATGAGAGACGAGTCCGATAAGATGCATAATAGATTGGTTCTGTTCAGTAGGACGTTTCCTGCTCCTCCGTTCAGAAACTCGCAGGTCCATGATGTCATAAACGAGCGACCAGGTGCGTCAGGTCACCTGCCTTCACTGCTTCTCTATCTTTGACTTCAAATGCTCCTTGTATCCCAAGATGCCGCTCTTCCACTTCGTGATGGTTTGATTCTCACACACCCAGATTTCTTGAGCCACCTGGGGAAAATAATAAATAAAAAAAAAGATTTTAGGGCTGCAGCTAACGATTTTGGTAATCGATTAATCGATTATTCTTAAGATTAATCTAATTATTTTTTTAAAAGGGGCACAATTTACTGATTTTTCACTTAACTACTTAAGCCATCTTTGTACAATATTAGAAATGCATTGAGATGGAAACAATTCAGTTCCTTTTTAAAATAATTTAGCATCCTTTTTAAATGTGTTTTATCGTCACCCAGTTCAGATTTACCAAAGATTTTGTTTTTAATTTTCATCTTAAATGAAAAATGTAAACATTTCTTTTCATGGTTTCGGTTTAATTTGTACTTTAACTTCTTTTTAAGCAAATGGCCTTTTATGAGTCTGTATACTTCAGTTAGCAATTGACTTAGTTGATTTTTTCAATATTTGATTAATCACGATTAGTCATTTCAGTCCTAGAGTTGGCATTTTAAATCTACAGATTTAAAAATCAAAGTTTTTTTTCTGAGTCTGTATACTCTGTTAACGAGTAATTGATTAATCACAACTTAGCTGATTAATCATTTTTAAATCAGTAAATTTAAAATCTAAAGCCATTCTTGAAGCTGTATACTCCAGTTATCCATCAACTACTGACTTAGTTGATTATTTCAATAATAGATTAATCACGATTAATCATGTCAGTCTTGAGCGATTTAAAACATCCACTCTACTCAAATGTTAGGTTTCGGGTGTCTCGGAGGAAGTTGTACCTGTTGAATTAGCCTGAAGTCGTGACTAACTAGCATCATGCCTCCCTCAAACTCGTTGATTGCTTCTGCCAGCGCGTCGATGGTCTCGATGTCCAGGTGATTAGTCGGCTCGTCCAGGAACAGCATGTGGGGGTTCTGCCAGGCCAGCCAGGCAAAACAAACTCTGCACTTCTGACCATCTGACAAGTTCCTGATCGGACTCACCTGAAGGGAATTAAAGGAGGCTTTTAGGAATAATGAGACACTTCATGCGTTTGTACTGGTGCTTGAAATCCTTGAATATGCCTAACTACAACAAGGCGTTTTGGAAAATGCTTGATGCTAAAGCTACAACTAAATTATTTTAGTAATCAATTAATTGGGTGTTTGAATAAGAAACATTTTATTGAATAAAATGCAACAAAATAACATTTTATTCTAAATAATAAATGTATGCTTTATTATTTGTATCAAAGAAAATTACGAATTTTATTTTTTTGGGTTACTGATTTATAAACTAAAAGTGTTTAGTATTTTATTGTTTGCAGAATCTGAACCTGATGAATCTAAAATAATACCACTTGAGTATAAAGTTTATCATTTATATTGAATGCAAAATGTATATTTTCAGAACAGTTTTAGCTTAATTACTGCTTTATTCTTTCAGCAAGTTACATTTTTTGAGTTTGTACTCCAGTTAACAAGCAGTACTAAATTAGTTGATTATTTCTATAGTCGATTAATCACGATTAATCATTTCACACATATTGAGTTTTGTATAAAGTCCTTGATATTTTATCTGGAGTTTTGAAATAAAGTAGTACACTTTTAGGAGTTACAGAAAGTCGTGTAATTATATTCAGGTTAAGCATTTAATTTGAGTAAATTAGATAACCTGATCAGTGTAATGAATATTTATTAATCCCAATGGCTCGATGAGCTATTGATCTGTGTAATTTAATATTTGAAAGTGATTGAAATTGGTAGATTTGTGTTTTGTTCTCAGACCAGTCAAGGTGTATCAAAATTATTATTTTAGTTTTCTTTGTAGAATACAATCACAAGACATTAAAAGCAGTAATAAATGACATAATAGTGAATTTGGTTCATTTTTATGCTTTAGTGCTAGAATTTTATTAAACGGTCAGATTTTGCTGTGGGAAAACCGTACGAAGCGTGTTTTTGCTACCTGCTGTTTTCCTGTGAGGCCGTAGCGACCGATGATCTTCCTCATCTCCTCCTTCTCCTTGATCTCAGGGAAACACTTCATCATGTACTCCAAAGGTGAAAGGTCGAGCTCCAGCTGCTCCGTCAGGTGCTGCCAAGACAAACGGAGAACAGTTACTTTACTG